GGCGCCGAGCCGAAAGTTCTCTTTACATCTTTGCTTTAATCTCACTTATTTTCTACCTCCAGTTTCCATATGGGACCACTCAGGCACGGACTGCCCCTTCTTCATCTCTAAGCTGTCTTTTAGCGCACCTCAAGCCTCAACAGCTCTATCCTGACTCAAACCTAAATGCCTCTTCTTTTTTTATAATACTTCTTGGCCTACGTACAATCTGGACAATGGCTCACATTAGTCTACAGTGGCACCTTCAATATCTCAATTCTTACTAATCTCAATAATTACTGTCAAAACTTAGGCAAATGGTATAGATCCCTTACAGCCAAGCATTTTTCATACTCTGAAATATTCCTTTTCTGGTGTTGGTCTTGTGAACCCTCTCATATTCCCCTGGTGTGGGTGACACAGGCTTTCCACAGTCCATCTGGGTCTCCATTGTCTTCTTTTGACCCAGTGGACAGCCCTCCCCTTCTGCCTTCCACAGCCCCTACTGCTCCTCTCCAAACCCCCACTGCCCCAAACCCTGCAATCCCTCCAGTTCCCTCAGTCAGAACTGGTAAATTCCTTTGTGTGAAATACCTCTCTTCTGCCTATAGCCTCTCACCATTCACCCATTCTCATTGCCTTCCAAAGGGCATATCCATGCCCATATCCATGTCCTTCCTTTAAACATACCCCATCCCCCATCTCCACCACCTCCCACCTGTTTCCCAACATGGCGGACCCAATTTCCCCACCCCATACTAGGTCTGACCACAACTTTGGGCCTTCCATTTCTAAAACAGGATGAATATCCTGCCCACATTTTAGCCTGTCTTAATGAAGCTCTCTATCAGTAGGCCACCATATCACCAGAGAGTAATGAAGGCAGACTCATTATTAACATACATTTTATCTCTCAGTCTAAACCCGATACCCAGAAAAAACTTGAAAATCCCCTTTGTGCCCTCAGACTCCTACCCCCCCACCCCCACCCTCACCCCCACCAGATCTCAGAAACAACCAAAGAGAGGCCTTGAGGCAAAAATGCCTCTCAGAACTCCAGACATTGGCTTCTGCCGTTAGAAAAAATCTGGCACCCCCTCGTAATTCCTCAGGGCATTCCAAAAAAACAAGGGCTCCAGGACCATGGGTTTTTTTTTGGTTTTGGGGGGTTTTTAAAAATGTTTTATACGATTTAATAAATAGTTCTCTTAATGACTGCAGACATGTAAGGCTGTTTGGTAGCATTCCGAAACATCACAGTAATGCTGGTTTTCTCAATTGTTGTGTAAGTTACTTGTGTGAAATGGTTATCAAACCAGTAAGACTGCATTTATGCATCCATCATTTTCAGGATTGTTGGTAACCCGGGCATATTTCCCCCAAATAACCTTGCCCCCTTGTGTCACAAGGCCCAGCTTGCTCACATTGACCTCAGTGGCCTCCCTTTGGTAATAACACCCAAAGTTGTATATAATGGAGATGGGGGATTCTTCTCTACACCAAGTATCGGCAGGCGAAAGGTGGCTTTCAGTTCAGGATGTGTTACAGGGCCTTCTTGAAACGCAAGCCCAGTGGCCTGATGAATCTTTCATATTTAGGTGGTTTTCTTGTAAAGCCATCTCCAGCAAAGCAGACTTTAGTAACCATCCTCTTCCATGCCTTCTTCTTTCTCTTTCCTGTTCGAATAACTTTTAATACTTCTGTTTCTCCGTGGGCACGAACTTTGGGCAGAGGGACTTCCCATTTGCCCGCTTTCTTTTTCCGTTTTTGTTTAACCATATTGGAGAGTCCTTTGGCTCGGGACCGTCCCTCTCTGTCCAACAGATAGGCAGGTACTGCTCCCTGTGGAGTCTTTTCATCATCCTTTTGTTTGGTGTTTCTCTTTTCTTGCATCTTGATAGTCTTTTTCATTTGTATTTTCTCAGCATGGCGCTGTTTATGGTAGAGCTTAGCCTTCAGACCAATCATCTTCTTTGCCTTCTTTGACCTTTCATGAGCCTCTCGATTTTCTTTTTTTCTCTTTTTCTCATGGCAATCCAACCGATATCCATAGCGTTTACGATGTAATTCAATATATTCATTTTGTGGCATGATGACGGTCGCAGAGCTGCCTGGCACAGCCTCTGGGGTACGAAGACGCTGTCGATCTTCGGGTCTCACAGATCCACGAGCCGATTCCACACACTACCGTTGCGACAGGAAAAGGTCACTCTTTAAACCAGGACCATGTTTTAAGTGCAATACACTGGGCAAAACACTGCCCAAATCCAAACCCCTCCCAAACCGCGTCCAGCCTGTAGAAATCTGACTGCCCAGGTCCTTCTGAGGATCTGGTTTGCAGACACTCTCAGAATACGGCTGAATTTCCTGACCTCCTGGGCCTAGTTGCAGAACACTGACACCCGCTGAAAAATCAAAACGCTCCTGAACAATCCCAAATCTAAACTCTATGTATTTTTCCTAGTGGAAAGTAAGCCAGTTCCTTTTCTGATTTAAAGGTCCTCTAAAACCAGCAAAGATCTCAGTGATGGATATTGATGATAAAACTCCACCCTTGTGGTGCATTTTTTTCCACATTCATTGTTATCCCTTGTTATCCCTTCATGCAATGTTCTCCCACTAGGTGGCGATGTCCTCTCAGGATTACTGGTGGCCCTGACAATTCCCTCTGGCTCCCGCCTCTCATTGTCCATCTCTCACTGTCCATCTCCCTCTGGCTCCCACCGCTCACTGTCCATCTTCCTCCTCGGTTATTGCCTATGATATGCCCACTAATTATAATTTTTTTCATGCTCAGTTGTAGACCAGTAATTCTCTGCCTCATTTCTCAATTTATTAACCAGTCACCCCAAAACAACCACTCATATCCTTGCCCTGCATGGATACCAATCAGTCCAGACGGAAGATGCAAGAATGTTCCTGTAAATGCCACTCCCTCCCCCTCCCATTGTCTACACAGGTCGTCCACATCACCCCCTCTTCTCCCAGGAAGGAGCCAAAGAGACACCACGCCCATCACCTCACCTCCTTATAATAGATTAGAAAGACTGGGATGATAGAATAGGATGTACTGACTTGTCCAAGTGAAACTGAACCACCCAGGAAGGATCAAGTACACGTCTCACCCAGAAAATTATGAATGTACCAATCCATGCCCCCCTAACCCTTTAAATCCCCATCCACCATAGCCCTCATGTGGAATTCTTTCCTAAACAGGGATTTCACCCCACCTGCACTGAGATGGAATAAGTCCACATTGACCACACAGAACCAGGACTCCATTTGCCTTTTGTTTCACACCTTGGAAACATCTTTCATCTTTGGGCCTGAGCTCAGGAGTTCTAGACCAGTCTGAGCAAAAATATTCAGGCATTGTGGCAGCTCCAAGTAGTCCCACCAGTAGTCTCAGCTACTCCAGAGGCTGAGGCAAAACGATCACTTGAGCCTAAAAGTTTAAGGTTGCTCTGAGCTATTGATGCAGGAGAGGCTGCACCATGACCTGCTGCCTTAGCCCTGGCGGTGTTGATACTGCAGTGGCTGGAGGAGCCAGCTTGCTGGAAGGGACAGACACCTGCGGGGAAGGCACTGGAACCTTGCCATCTTCATTCTGGCTGGTCAATTTCATGGATGGCACCTTGCTATCTCCTCATGTGAGTTTCCAGGGCCTGAGAGTTTGGGCACCTTACTGCTGATTGGACAACTGGCTGTAACTGATGAAGACCCACACCCTAAAAGTCAACATTGAGTTCAGGCAAAACAACCCCCTGTGACTATATAAACTTCTGAGCAGAGAGCCCAAGGACAGACCTCGAAGAGGGAGCAGGAGAGCTTGTTCCCCTCCTGGGGTCTTTCTGCCAGGGCCTTTGGTTTTTTGTAAGTTGTAATTTTTGTTTCTGTGAATAAACCCTGTCTTAGCACTGATCCTGTGATCTGTGGATTCGTTCTTTAAATCACTGACACCAAGAACCTGAAATACTGGTATCATATTTGGCGAGCCAGCCAGGAGAGAAGACAAAGTTCTGGTATCATATTTGGTGGCCCGTACAGGGAAAGACGATGGAAAGAAGACATCTGTGGTAAGTAATGGGCCTGCTTACCTCTGTACTGGTTTTCTCTACATTTATAATAATGGGGACTAATAACTTCGATGCCCATCAGCCCATAAATGTGCATGGTGCAGATGCTGACCTCCAGGTCACGGGCAGGAGGCTGTTGAGGTACAAACTTTCTAATTCCCCGTGGCTCCAGAAAGGTACCAAAGAGAATGCTAAACGACTTTTGAACTTGTTCTCTATTTACTCCTTCTCCCTGGTTGAGAGCCGAGCAAGGAGGTAGCACCCAGAGGCCCTGGGGTCCCCAGCAATGGTTCTGACCCCAGGACTTGGGAGGGCCTTCAAAAACGTGCTCTCCCAGCTTTTACTATCTTCTCTTCTCTTCTATGGTCCCAAATTTTGTTTCTATTTATCTCTGTAGACCTCTTCTAGTTCTCTCCTTCTCCTTGATATTATATGTGCTTAGTTTGAATATAGCTAAGAATTGTTTACATATTTAGTTAATTTTGTAAGGGTATTCTGGTATTTTTTAAAAGTGTGTATTAGATGTTTTAAGGGGGCTTTGAATGTTGTAGGTGGGTTGAAAGTTATTACTTTTCTTTGGTGTTTTTATGTCCCTAAAAAACAAGGGCTGACCTTGTTAAAGAGAAGTCAGTCCCAAACGAGGGGCAAAATGACTCTCCTCCACAGTGTGTCTGGGCAACCGGAGGCCTGTGAAAGGAAGCCCAGGATGACTCCCCAAGGTGGGAATGGCCATGAACCTTGGCTACTGCTCAGTCTCTTGAAAATAAAGAAGAGCAATGAGAATGACCCTGGGTATTTGATTTCTTCTGGTGTGGGGAAGTTTAAGATAATTCTAAGTTTCTCTAGGACTTCAACTAATTGCAACTAATTGTGTTCAAAGTTCCAAAATGTCTCTCAACTCTGATTTGTAACTAAATTTAGTTATTGGTACCTTGCTAACCTTTAAGAAAAGGAAGTTGGAAAAGCATAGCATTTAACATCAAGACCTGCTCATGCCGGAAAGCCTACTTTCCTTTTTGTTAGGGGGAATTTAGAAAAAGCTTATACAGATTCTATAGAGTTAAATGCATAAATATCGCACAGCCATTTTCTCCAGGATGGGACTTATTCCCACTTTGATTGATACTCTGAGGCTGGAGGGGGGAAGGGGCAGAAAGGGGCAGAATATATGCATGGGGTGGGACCAGGCTCCCCAATATCTGATTTCTTGGGCTGTGCTGCCGGCATGTTATAAGCACAGGAGAACCAGCAGGCACTAAGTGCTACACTGGTAAGAGTGGCTAATTCCAGACAAGCACAGGGGCTGAAGAGGCCACTCTTCTCAGGACTTCTTCCCCAAACATTGGAAGGATGCTCCCTTTTGTTTGGTCAGAAGGCTTCTTGGGTTGGTCAGAGGATGCTCTGACAACTCAGGAATACAGGGTGGGATTGATTAAGATGCTGGACATTTGCTCTTTCTCACAGATGGGTAACATATTCTCTTGCCAAGAGAACACCCCGCTGGGCTGTATTCTGAAGCACTAAGACAAGTTTGATCCCCCGACACTGAAAAAAGAATGTATGGTTTTCTTCTGCACCCAGGCCTGGCCTTAGTATCAACTTTCCACTGGTGAACAATGGCCCCCAGAGGGTACTCTAAATTATGACACCATTTTTCAGTTAGATACTTTTTGTAAACAGGAAAAAAGTGGTCTGAGGGGCCTTCTGGGTGAGCACTCTTTTCCCTCAGGGACAACTCCCACCTGTGTAAGACCTGCCAGACAGATTCTGCTCTCTTAGCTGTAGTAACTTCTCCAAATGGTCAGGGATTCTCAAGGGAGACACCATCACCACCTAGTTCAAACCCTCCACCTACTTCTCCCACACCTTCCTCCATGTGTTCAGAAAACCCCAGGAGGGAGGCTGTCCCAAGATTTTTTTCTGGTCCTACTGTGACCCCCTAGACAGCAACCATATCCTTCTTTGTGTCCCTTGGTTGAGACTGTGAGTGGTGAAAGGGGAAGTGTGTGAGTATACACTCCATTTTCTCTAGTAGATTTAAAGCAAATTAAAGTTGATTTAGGAAAATTTTCTGATGACCCTGATAAGTACATAGATGTTCTCCAAGGGTTAGGACAAAGCTTTGACCTCTCTTGGAGAGATATAATGTTACTACTAGGTCAAACTTTGATGTTTAATGAAAAAAAAGAAGTCCTGGATGAAGGTAGGAAATGGGTGATTTGTGGTTCACGTCCAATACTGATGGCAGTGTGTCTCCTGGGGAAAGGGACAGATACCCCACAGGAAGACAGGCAGTTCCCTTTGAGGATCCTGAATGGGACCCTGAGAAACAAGGTGACTGGTGGCATAAACATTTTCTAACATGTATCCTAGAAGGTTTAAGTCGATCCAAGAAAAAGCCTGTAAATTATGCCAAGTTGTCTACTTTTTGCTAGGAGCAAAATGAGAGTCCCTCAGTCTTTCTTGAGAGGCTTAGGGAGGCAATGAGAAAACACACCCAATTGACACCTGACTCCATAGAGGGTCAAATTATTTTAAAAGACAAGTTTATCACTCCAGGGGTCCCAGACATTCAAAGAAAACTCCAAAAATTGGCTCTAGGCACAGATCATAACCTAGAGAATCTTAAAGCAGCCACTACAGTCTTCTATGACCAAGATCAGGAGAAAAAGGAAGAAAAAGAGAGAAGGAATCAAAAAAGAATTACAGCCCTAGTAATGGCACTCTGACAAACAAGCACCTTTCAGGGGCAGGGGGAAGGCAGAGGTGTTAGGGACAAGGGCTTCCAATGTGGTCAGACCGGTCATCTCAGAAAGGACTGCCCCCAGCAGTACCACTGGCTGGACAAGACACCTGGCTGGCCCTTGTCCAGAATGTAAGGGTGACCACTGGAGGGTGACCTGTCCCCAGAGTCAAAGGCCTCCTGGGACAGTGATCCCATTGGCACCCAAACTGGACTGAGGGTGCCCGCGGCAGATTCTCATGGCTCCAGCTTGTGTTCTCAGGAGCCCTGGGTTTGCCTTATAGTGGAGGACCAGGAGATAGAGTTTCTTCTGGACACTGGAGCAACCTTTTCCGTACTTCTCTCTAACCCTGGTCTTTTATCCCCCAAATCCGTAACTATACAGGGGGT